TGTGGGTAAGCAAAAAATGCCCATTCACTGTATGGTAGGACCCATAGCAAAAGCTTCACCCTACCAAAGCTTCAACACCAAAGATTCAGGCACCCTACCAAAAGCTTAATTATTCCTGAATGGAATATTATCAGTATTTTTTTATCGAAAATTCAAAAAGAGTTCAAATAAGATTCGGTAAAAGGGAAAATGTTCGAAAAAAAAAATTACGAAAAAAAAATGCCAATAGGGCCTTCCTCCTTCTTTGGGCCTAACATACTATTCATAACAAAAATCTTTTTAATGGAGAGGAGTTTTGGTTGTGGCTAACGCTACAGACACCCAGTATAGGAAATGCACTCATTCGATCAACCCCGGTTAACGGTCGAAGCCTCGATATGGATCTTTTGTGGGGCGACTACCGCCTAACCATATAGCTACTGACACTCTCTGATACGTCGGATGGTCTTCTGCGACGTAGTATTTTGAGCTCAGTGACTTGATTTTGGGATTTCAACTAGTATCTCCAAATATGAGAAGTTTTCTCACTCGGGAAATTAAGGTTTGGCACTACTTCCAAAACCTAAATGCTATCACTCAGACAAAGCTTCAACATTTCAACAGCGTTCCGAACAAAAAGGAAAAATTCAGAAAACTATAAAGGCTTGGTGTATTTAACACAATACGTTGAAATGAAAGCTCAGATCAAGGCTTGCTTTATTGATATCTCCGAGAATGCGATATTACATGGAATATGTTACAATGATCTCTGGTATACAAAAAGGTATAAACAAACAGAGCGAAAGCTCTTTCAACAAGGAATTGCTCAGAGGGAGAAGTCTCCAGCACGTCGGCAAAGCCCTCTAGAAAGATGGATGGCCACCGGCGATTAGATAAGGAACATTCGGTGATTATTCGGAGCCTCAGTACTAGGCAGAACCCGTAAAGGGAAGGCACCGAAGTTGATCATTTGGTTTTCATTACGCATGTACATCCCTAGAGACGAAGCAATAAATGCGGTTTGAACAACCCACAAATCTCTGATGAGGGTTCAAAGTAAATGTGCAACGATTTCTGGACTCTACACTCTTAGCAGCTGGTTGAGCTCTCTCTGCGCTCCATGTTTGTAAGCGAATAGTCATAGTGCTGTAGCATTGATAGGTGCAAACATGTTTTTAATTCTCCTTGGGCTTAGAGAGCCCAGTTCTTGATCTTCCGTCTTTGTTAGATAGACCCTTTATATTCACTTCAAGAGGCCGCGAATGATTCACTTGGCGGGGTTCGAGCAAATACACGTTGGGGCCATATTAGACCACAGAACCTGCACACAACACTGAGAGCCAGAGAAATCCTTAACAACCAACTCAATCTCAGCCGCTTGCGGAAAGTAGTGCAACGATTCTCTTTCTGGGTTAGTGAGTAAGGGGTCTCCGTGGCCACCACCGGCAAGATTTTGATTACGAGGTCTATTATCATGTTTATCACTCTCAGTAGGTCCCCACAAGTTAAGTAGCGAACCAGTTGTGAGGGGATAAGAAGGAACAATTGCTCATGGGCGCATATGTTGTTTGAGAGGCTCTACTAGGAGCTGGCCTCTCACCAAAGTGATCAAGCTCAAAACTCGGCAGTCGGATATGGGTAGCTAGACATTTCCTTAAAGGAAATGATGCTGAAGTGATGAAAATAGGTGCAATCAATCATCTTAGAAGTAAGGGAAAGATAATTCTTCCTTACAATGCCAATAAACTCTATTCTGAATGTACCTTCTTTGCACACAATTTGGTGCCCTTATAATAAGAAAGTCGGCACAAACATGCTCGGCCAATTAGTCTAAAATCGCAAATGGCACCACTCCCCGCGATTCCGAATAAGCGCACGGCACCACTTTCACCGCAAACATTCAGGGCAGGCTCATCGGGTATTACAGATAACCTCTTTGCCCAAGATCTCTCTTAAGCAAGTCTAGATACTTATCAAATTTTTCTAAAAGAGGTCTAGCTACCTACTATACCCACAAGGGTAAAGGGAACAAACACCACTTGCTTGATAAACTAGGAAAGTGTCCCAAAGTGAGGTGTGTCAATCCCTCCTGTGACTCCGTTAGATTTGGGCAGGCAGAATTTGGCAAATCAGAATGCCAAACTCTACTTACTCATATTTGAGAGAAACCATCTCACACAACAAGATTGCTTTGCCCTCAAAGAATCAAAGTAATGGGCCATGGCACCGCATTATCGTACCGCTTCATATATCTCAGATGGAGACACCAGAGACTCATCCCCAAACAGAGGGCGAATTTAACGTCGGTGCTTTTAATAGATTCTCGACACGAGCAACTGCCCACTTATCCTTGACTAGCTCGCAAATACTCTGAGACCCACGCAGACCCCAAATCTGGAGTTACGTATTATAAAATACTCGAAGAGGCAATCTGCCCTCCACACCGTCTATTATTCTGAGCGGGCCTGAGTTCACTTGTGTTTTTAAACCAACGAGTATTATTTAGCTCAGTTGGAACGACTCTCTACAAGAGAGACGACTTGCCAATATTCTGAATCTTAATAGAGTCAGAGCATGAGCCCCAACCAAGGATGCGTTTTCTCTCCAGAAAAATTGTGAAGAGTTTGGCGGAACGCAGTATCTACATGAATATCTTGAAGAAGAGCGCCCCATATCGCTCCGAACAATATGATTTGGTTAAGTCTTTGAGAAATTGTTCTCTTCAGAATAAAACGATCAACGATACGTCTGCATCTAACGAAGATTTCGGTGAGAGCCACCGAAAAAATCTTGTCTGTCAAGTCTCTACAATACTGCGCCGAACGTCAGGTCTCTATATTCACCAGGTACTCACAGACCCACTTTTTCAAAGTGCTCTGACAAAGTTAAAACACGTGAAGCTTGCAGCCCCCACTACATTGCTATGACCAAGAAGGGTAAAGGAATAGCACTACTACTTGTTGTTAGGGAGACTCCTATATATGTCGACCTCCATCCTCCACAGCCAGGCAGACCTACAAATAAAAAAAAATGCTTAACTTTTCTTCACATCCGAGAGGGCACTCTCAGCAGAGTCTCTCGAAATACTCAGTTTCTTTTCCTCCCGATAATACCTCTGCAAACAAGCCACACCAAAGCAAGAGTATCTCATATCATCAGGGTTAAAAGTAAGAGTATCCCATATCATGCTTTTTCCCTGTCTTTTCCTTTGGCCTTATTCTTACCTGCAAGACAAGAAGGAAGAGAACAATCAGTCAACACTTGGAATCAAGCTTCCAGTCAGGAACTGACTGCTTGGAACTCCTTGCTTGATTACTTACCTGGCATTGCTCTCGAGTACTCACCTTCAACATCTTATGCTTCCAGAGAAGATACCACATCTGCCTGAACAGATAAGGCAAGTGATAAGGATACAAGGAAGCATGTGGAGACAAGCGTAACAGAACACGTGCTTATACATCCACTACTTTGTCAACAGCAAAAGTATCACATATCTTCTGGGTCGAACGTACTCTAGATTTGATGGACTTGTTTTGACCCTCAAATTCTTGAGTCGACCTTTTACTCTGGAGAAAACCAGAAAACCCTCCAGCCCAGTTCAAGAATAAGCCTGTGAAAAGTTACTTCTTCAAAAGTAAAAGTATCTCATATCATCTCTTCTCCATTTGCTTCTTCTTATCCTTGTTCCTGTTTACGACATAAGGAGAAGGAGAACAATCAACCGGAAGCCGAAGTCGAACCTCCGATCCAGGTTGCTTACTTGGAAGTCTGATTGCTTACCTTGTCTGTTACCTCATTCGATAAATCTCCTAACTCGGCGACTTGGGGGACTCCTACTATAGGGTTTGTATCGCACTTGACCAAGCCCGAAACTACAAGTAAGCTTTGAGTGAAATTGATACATTACCTTGTGCATCTTCATCGGTTAAAGATACCCCCCTGGATGGAGGAAAATGACTTCTAGAGAAGATGTCACATCTACATATGAGACAGATAAGGCAAGTAAAAATGATACCACACTTCGGTACTTAGAAGTTTCGTGATTACTCAATGGCTTGGATCTTGCAAGTCCCCAACCGAGGAGCTTCCCTCACTTGGGAACTTAGGAAAGCACTGTTTGTACCATACTTGACCAATCCCGAAACTACTGAGCACCGGTCAACGTTATACAGTTAAGGACCCAGAAGAGTTTCCTTCCAATTAGGATGCCAATCACAGCGCGACACGTGCTGACACAGAAGCCAATCATAGCGCAATACTTGTCAACATCAGAAGCCAATCACAACACGACTCGTGTCAATGTCAGAATGAAACTAGAAACTCTCTTCTATAAATAGAGATCATTCTCTCACAATATTTATCATTCACTAGTACCCACTAGAGGAGAGCTTGAACCTATGTACTTGTGTAAACCCTTCACAATTAATGAGAACTCCTCTACCCCGTAGACGTAGCCAATTTGGGTGAACCACGTACATCTTGTGTTTGCTTCCCTATCCCTATCCATTTACTTACTTATCCACACTAGTGACATAAGCAATCTAGCGAAGGTCACAAACTTAACAATTTCTGTTGTACCAAAGTCTTCGCTGATTTTGTGCATCAACAATGTTCATACAATGAAATTATGTTTTAATAAGTGAAGAGATAAGTAAACTCATCTAAAAGGGAAAACACAAGCTTCAATATTTAAAATGAGGTCTTATGTTCGGTTGTAAGTAAGAGGTCTTATGTTCGATTCTCGCCAAAGACGAATTTGAACCACATTATTGCTAGCTTATTGTGAAACTAAGTCCACCTCCTCCTCTTAGTGTATATAATATCGTAAATAAAAAAAATTTAGTAATGTTCAACGAAAGAGTATTTTCTCTGTCTAGCATCACATGAAATAACCTGACAACACAACATAGAAGATGGGCTTTTTTGACCCAATTGAATTGTTTACATCGAGGAATTATAGGAAATTAAAAGATAAAAGTATCACAATATAATGTGGGAGAACCCAAAAACTGCATTCAGGTAAGGCAAGTTGCAACACAAAAATATTATTAGAGAAGGTCACTAAAGCCCTACTCATAAACTGAAATAAAACATGTCGAGATCGTTTAAACAATTCTACAAGACTCTGAAATTACTAGGAAAACAATGCCTACTACGACGGCGTATCCAAAACGCACTGCCTACCGAATCTGAAACAGTAAGAAACTGTTTTGCCACTATCACACATCAACGGAAAAACAAATTTTCAACATCAACGGAAAAACAGATTTTCAAAGTTAAACACAAGTGTGGGCGAGAGATACAAAAAAAAAAAGAACCCTATCTCTGGCCTTTCTTTTTCCACAAGTCACCGAACATTTTTTTGCCGGAGCCCTTTCTTTTACCACTACCGAATCCATCGTCCAAGTCATCAGCTGGTGACCCCACAAAGCCCGTGTAGCCACCAGTTGATGGCTCAATTACTCTACCATTCATCTCCACACCCCCGGCAAGTACAGCAGCAGCAGCATCTGCTGCCTTTCTCCACTGCTCTGTCTGCACTCTCATCTTCTTCATCTCCGCTTCCAGTGCTTCCTTTGCTCTTTCCGTTGCTTGCAGCTTCTCGTTCAACTGACCTGCATTTCCCTTACTTACTTCCAGCTCTTCTTCAAGCTGACTTAACTTCAAGGACATTTCCTTTTCCTTTTCTTGGGCAGCTAAAATATTTAATGCCGCTTCGTTTAGCTGATTCTTTACACCCTGACTTTCTTCACCAGACACTTCTAACTGCTTTGCCTTCTCTTCCAACTCAGCTCTTAGCATGTTTATCTCATCATTCTTCAAAGCTAGGTCACGTAAGGCTGAAAGTTTTTCTGCTTCCAAAATCGATGTTGGTTCATCTGATTTATCAACTTGTTTGGTTTCATCTTCAACCTGATCAGTCTCACTAGATTCAACCTTCGGCTCAACTGTAACTTTTTCTACTGGGACTTCAAAAACATCAGTTTCCTTTTGGATGTCAACTGGAACTTCATCAGAGGAACAACAGTCCGTTTTGTTAGAATCTTGAAATTCCAATGTAGGATGCGTTTTATGGATCTTCGCTGGCTCAGAAGTCACAACTCGTTTCTTAATTTTCTTTTCCAGTTTCTCTTGTGCTTCTTTCTTTGCAGCCTCGGCTGAAGCCAACTGCTCTTTCAGTATCTTTAGCTCTTCTTGTGCTTGCCCAAGCTGAGATTCCAAATCAGCAAGGCGGGTTCCAATTTTCTTTTGGTTTAGTGGATCAGATTGTGTACCTCTTGGGGAACGGCGATCCACTCCTACCTTTGGACTTCGGTCAGTTATTGGTCGATGATGGAGTGGATCTGAATCAGAGCTTGATGTCCTGAGTTGATGTGAGCCTCGAGGAGACGGCCTTTGAACCATTTCAGAGCCCCTATTCCTCAAAATCAAGACAAGAATTTTCTGTCAGATATTTATTCCATTTTTATATGTAATCGCATCTCTCAGGGTAAAGCTTAGGGCATGTATAAACCACTAGAGCTCAAATAATGGCCTGATAAGCAAAAGAACCTTCTAGACACAGAATACAGATCACATTTATAATTTTGATTGGTTCTGTTGTCAAGTTATGCTGCATAACTACGAACCATAATGTACTCAAAAATGAAAACCATCAGACCATCAAGGTTAAGAAGGACAAAAAATCTACTGCATAACATAACCTTTATCTTTAGATTTACACTGAATCCACAAGATTAAGGAATATACATAAACACATACACAAAAGTCAAACCCAGATCACAGATAAATAGCATCCTCTAACCTTGATCGCAGCATCTGTTGCGCTTAGAAGATTGGCTGGAGAAAAGAGATAAGGACTAGTAAGTCGAAGGCTTGTGTTCTGCTAAGTTGTGATCATAAGAAAAAAACGTAGTTAGAATAAAACACATAACTAAGATAGTAACATAAGAATGGTATTTGAAATATAATGTTGTACTACAGATTAAAAACTCCATGCTCTTGCATATCAATGCCTAAACATACTGGGGCAATGACATTCAAATATCCCTTGCTAAGCATAAGAGGCAGCATAGTCTACAAGCACAGATGAACACATCTGCAAAAATGATGTGCTAAACATGCGACATGTTTCCATCTTCGGGTACTATCTGCTCATCAGAAGATAAATGTGATTGCAGATTTACACACCAAATGGTCCTAGAGAGAAAAAAAAACTGCAATGCATTTGAGTGGTTACATAACTCAAGGCTTAATCTCACTTTTACAAAACCCCATGTTCCTCAAGGACTGCATATCTCTGCTAGTATGCTTCTGGGACAGTGCAAAAGCATTCTTAAAAGTCTCTCTTTCCCCACATTATCAAATGCAGGCATATTTTTCAACCTAAAAGCTCAAACTATTTCTTGGGGTTGAAACGTTGCAGTGGCAATATTGTCACTTGGCATTTTTGGCTCAAAAATTGCATCCACTTTTCTTTTGTTCCCCTGACAAAGATCATAAAATGTGCTCGAAAGTTGAAAACTCATGTGTACTATGATGTTCATTATCATATTACAAGATTGTATCAAGCAATAACCAACCATGACTAGCTAATGTCGTATTGCTTAGAGTTAATAGTAGTTGAAGAATGTAAATTTCCTACCTATCAGCATAAGATTGAAGCATACAAACCATCAAGGATTTTCAGAATCTTAAACATGCAGACACTGCATGTTTTAACCAAACTACACTCCTTTTTTCAATAATAATTTTACATTTTCTGGAGGGTCCGAAATTCCGAAGGGAAGTAAAAAACTCAAGAAAGTGTACCTCACACTTCCAAAATAAGACAAAAAAAATGCCAAGACACAGATCCTTGAACAATAAGGGAAGAAAGTTGTGAGTCGTAAGATCTCAAAATTGTAAGGAAATTTTAGATAGTCACTAAGAAATCAGCTAACAATTAAACACCCCACTGACACAAAATGTGACAGTAAAGGTAAAAGAACAACATCAAATAAAAATGCAAAAAAAAAAATCATATATATCGAGAAAATACTAGTTATTAATGGGCAAAAGAAACATAATTTTCACCTTGCAGATTCCAGCAAAACAATGGCAGTTGCTGAGCTAACACTAACACTCTCTTTTGTGATCTGAGTAGCATCTGAAATGGAAGAAGAACTCCACGAAAGACCTCTCCTTTTGAATATTGGGGACTACAGAAAATAACCTATTTGCTAGAAAATGGTAAAGGATGGTTTTTTGAGCTCCACAAGTTGGGTTTTGGTGTTAAAAGTGACAACTTTTTTTGAAACATGAAAGACTAGGAGGTAAAAACTGTGCCCAGAAGAGCCATCAACCTAGAGAGAGAGAGAGAGAGAGAGAGAAAGAGAGAGAGAGGTGTTGAAGTTCGAAGTTTGAATTAAAGACGAGTGAGAGAGTGATAGTGGCGCATTCAGCTTTTTCAAGAAATGGGTGGAAGAAGAAGAGGACAAAGGAGTAATTTTAAAGAAAGGACTGCTAAATAATTCAATGTGAAAGTAAAGGATCTTGGGAAAATCCAACCCTTTCGCTCTTGTCTTTTTGTCTTCTTTCGAACTTCTTCAAAGTTCAAACCTTTTTTTTTAGAGAGTTTTAACGAAAAGCACACGGTACTGTTCACTTTAACGAAAAATCATATTTTAATATTAAAAAATCAAACATGGTACTATTCACTTTACCCTTTATTTTGTCCTTATCGTTAAAACTCAAAATTTTCAAGCCCTTTTCATTAGTTTTTTTTTTTAAAAGAAAAACTAATGAAAAAAGTTTGAAAACTTTGAATTTTAACAATAAGAATCAAATAAAAGGTAAAATAAATAGTACCAGATTTGAATTTTTAATGTAAAAATATAATTTTTTATTAAAATAAACAGTACCGCGAATTTTTCGTTAAAATTCTTTTTTTTTTTAAATCTCTGTACGTTTTCTTCTTGTTTCTTTAATGACAATGCGTGCATTTTGACCATGCATGTAAAATATATGTGCATTTTGACAATGTGCATGCATATAAATAGACAAGTTGGAATCATCTTCTTTGCCTTCCTTCATTCCAAACAATATAACCGAGGAAATAATTACTCAAAATAGTTATTTACACACTTATTTTTATCTTTTACATACTTTTTGTAATCTTTTGTCATTCATTTTTTTAGGGAGACTTTGAATGCGATTTCTAGCTACGAATACTCTTTGATTAAAACCTTGTTGGAACCTATTTTCTAAACTAGATTTTAATCCTTAAATAAGATGAAGTTTAGAAAAATGTCTTATGCAATATTAAAAATTGATTTTAGTCCCTAGACTTTATTTAATGCCAGCATATTAAATGTCTCTCTTTTTTATTTATAATTTTATGGTGTTCATAAATTAAATTTTATGAAAATATTATAAATTTTAATTCTCATTATAGTAAGTATCTTATATAAGAAAATATTTTCATAAAGATTTTTCGGTACACATGTTTTTGCATATTTTCTTATGTGCCACTAATTCATTACAATATATTTAGGTATTAACATTTCAGTACCCTACGTTAGTATAATATGTTTAGGTACGAACATTTCGGTACACTAGTTTATTATAATATATTTTGGTACCGACATTTCGGTACACTAGTTTAGTATCATATATTTAGATACGGAATTTTTTGGTACACTTATGTTTTTGCATATTTTCTTATGTGCCACTAATTCACTACAATATATTTAGGTACAGACATTTCGGTACACTAACTTAGTAAAATATATTATAATACAGAGGTACACTAATTAGAGGAAGTAAAATAAATATAATGAATTAAAATGTGTATAATAATAAATAATTTTAATTTTAATGTACTGACATTAAATAAGATATCTATTATGTCACAGCCCATTCCGGGACTTTATATTATTGGGGACGTGAAATGACGGATTTACCCTTAGCGGGTATTAAGGTATGTGTGTGTGACGTTATTTGGATTAACTTTATATAAGTTTTGGATTAAAATTATTGGTTTGTAAAATATTGTGTGGTTAGGGATTAAATGGATGGAAATGGACCACACACACTTCCTTTTCTCCCTCTCTTCCCCGTGCCTCTCTCTCTCTCTTCCCTCACGACTTTCTCACTCTCTCTCACCCATAAACGTACGGACAACACCAAAACCCTCCAAAACTTTGTGGATCGAAGCAAATAAGGTATGATTCTTCACCCTTTTGATGTTCTGAGTTGATTGGTACCAGTTTTAGGAAGTGAAACCCTCGGAATCGTCGTGAAACCTTAACCCCGAAAATGTGCACTGTTCATGCACACGTGAAATCTTGCATTTCAGGGGATTTCAAGCTCACAGTGAGCTTAAGGACATCCTCACGAGCTTCGGGGTACTTCGTTGGTGATATTTGGACGTCGGAGGACCGAGAACGGAGGTTCTCAAAATTTCCGAACTATCGTGCTTCCCCAGGTAAAATCTAGTGAATTTTAGACCTTGAAACTAGTTCATCGTGATTCTACATGTTGAGGGCCTCAAATTGATATAAAATTCAAAGAAATCGGTTGAGAAACGAAGGAGAACAAGCATTTTTAAAACTCGCCGGAATCCGGCCACCGGAAAAACCAGTCCGACGACTGGCTGAGGAAGATGGTGTGCGTGGGGGCGCGTAGGCCCGTGCCACCCACGGCGCGTGAGGGCGCGTGGCAAGCCTAAAAATTTTTCTAAAAATTTCTCGACGTCCGTGACGTCGAGTAGGTCGATGTGGTATATTCATATACCCAAATTGAGCACCGTATGAGAAGTTATTTCGAATTGTTGGTTATGTGTTTAAATTAACGTTTTTATAGTTGTTTCGCATATAGGTGACACCTATCCCGAGGACGAGCGCATCCAGGGACGTCACGGGAGTTACGACCCATCGACTTACCAGTGAGTGGGCAGTATTTTTCTGTATTTACCTATATGTTATCTATTTTTCCCAGAAATCAAAATTAAATGAAATTATATTTCTAAAATGCCATGCATGCATATTATGAGTTATGAATTGATAATTGATGCATATATATGTGTGAATTGGTGCCGTGGACGCATAGGTGAGTATCAAGTGAGTTTATATGGTTTATAGGAATGAATGATGATGTGATTGCGTTGTGAGCTCATAAACTGCACCTTTGGTATTAGTGCTTATAGTATTCACCACACCGCACGCTCGCCTTGGATCCAAGTAGGTGGATGTCGTACAAACCACTAGAGGTGGTTCCGACATACCAGTCGTACAGACCATTAGAGGGGTTCCGACTGGTGGGTGACTTTAGATTATGTGCACAGATGATTGATGAGAGAAGCACTAGAGCGTATTATTTCACCATCTTAGTCGTACAGACTACTATAGGTAGTTCCGACTTATGTGCAGTGTAGTGCCGTACAGGTCATAGTTGGTGACTCCGGCACGGCCATACATGTCACAATTGGTGACTTCGGCTGGATGGGATATTGAGCTATAGAATCAGCCGTACAGGACCACTATAGGGTCTCCGGTTGATTTATTATTTCACCTGATTTATATTGATGCATTCATATTATATTTTGGCATGGCATGGCATATTCTTTTTGAGATGTTATGTTGATAGATGGTGAGCGAAGTTTTGATGATATATGTATATGTACGTTTATATACTATTTTTCTGGGAAAGTATACAGGTTTTACGGTGAGGGGTTAGAAACGTTTTAAATGAAATGTTTTTGGAAAATCTTTGGTTTTACTGACCCACTCATCTTTGTTTTGCGCCCCTCCAGGTTCTAGTTAGCAGTTGGTGGCTCTCGAGGTCTTTTTCGGCATTCTGACAGACGTACTGCATGTAGGACTCACCTGCGGGTGTTGCACTTTTAATTATGGTCCTACTTGACTGCACTTGATACCTACGCTCTGAATTCGTGTGTTTTACTCTATAACTCTCTCTTGTATGCTAGTAGGTTATTCTGCTAGTGGTTGTTTTAAATTCCTTCATATTTCTGTTATATCTTGCTTCCGTGTCGCACTTTTGGCTACGTCACGCTCACGTGACGGCCAGCACGCCTTGATTCTAGGATCGGGGTGTGTCAGTTTGGTATCAGAGCCTAGGTTGCAGTCCTGTATAATTGTTAATGCTCTAATGATCTTTTGATGTTTTCTGTCAGAATTATGCCGTCTCGTAGGGAACGTAGGGAATCCCGCCGTACTTCTGAACCTAATTTCCCTGATATTACTCAGTTAGGGGAAGCAATGGCCCAGGCTTTACAGAATGCAATTCGTCCTCCTCCCCCTCCTCAGAGGACACCCCTGGAGACTATGTACAATTTGAAATTGGATCGTTTTATGGGTTATGAAGGTCACGAGGGGGCAGAGAAATGGCTAGACCATATTGAGAAGACGTTTCAGGTGATGCAAAGTCAGGGGAATTTTCCTGCTGATAGGTGGGTTGAGACCACTACCTGGTTTTTGGGTCGAGAGCCAGCAGCTTGGTGGGAAAATCAGACTAGGTACACGTCACCTGAGACGGCTGCTGACTGGAAAGTATTCAAAGAGAACTTTATGAAGAGATTTGTCCCTCAAGAATACATCGATCGTAAAAAGCAAGAGTTTACTCGATTGAAACAAAGGAATATGTCAGCACATGAGTACTACAGAAAGTTTACTAATTTTTCTCGTTATGACCCTGATACAGCTGGTAATCAGGTAGAGATGCTTCGACGTTTCAAGTTGGGAACTAAGAGAAAATGGCGGACTTTTGCCAGTGCACTTCCCTGCGCCGATTATCATGAGTTTTTCGAGATTTTGGTTAGGATTGAGGACTTCGATAATCTTCCCAGTGACAGTGAGGATGACGAGGACAAGAATGATGGTCAGAAGAAGGATGATAAAGGTAAGGGTATCTCCATTCCGGGACCTCGCAAGACACAGAATTTTAAGAAGTGGAGCGAGTTCGAGTTCTTCTAGTGGAGGATATAGTATTACTGGCCCGAGGAGAGGTGGTAGAAGATTTTCTGGCGGACCCAGATTTCAGAAGCAGAGGGATTCCGGTGGTGCTGGTGGTTTTGGTGCTCCGTGGTGCCGCCGTTGTAATTTTCGTCATCATTGTGAGTGCAGGAGAGGTGGTGGTGCTTGTTATACTTGTGGGCAAAAGGGACATCGGGCTTCTCACTGTCCCCAAGGTCAACAGAGACCTCAGCAGACCACTATGCCACCTTCAGCGCTGATTCAGCAGAGCTTTGGACCGGGCAGTTATGGCCAGTCAGGTCGTGGTGGTGCTTACCACTACCAGGGGATGCTGCTCTTTATGCTTCATGACCTTATCAGTATCCCCAGGAGCCTTATTCTCAGACGGGGTATTCCCAGGACCTTGGGGGTTATTCTTCTTATTCTTCCATGCCAGCTGGTGGATTTCAGTGGCATCAGGGAGGCCAGCCCCGTCAGGGA